TATCACTTAACAACTGTAAGGTTGGCAACGATTAGAAGGCTGGAGGTCACCAAGTGTTAGTGGAGATGTGAGAGTATAGGAGTGCCATATTCTGCTGAAGGCTGAGTGGGCTGGTGCAGCCATCCTGGAAAGCAGTCTAGCACAATTGACTTAAATGAAGTAGTTGCATACTCATGACCCAGCCATTAATTTCCTGAGTATGTATCTCAAAGAAATTCTCACACAGGTCATGTAAGAAGGTTGTGACAAGTAAGCAGAGCCAAGTTAGGCCTCCATCACTGGGGCAGTGGATGGTAAAGTGTGGTGGGTGCACAGCATAGGATACTATCCAGCATTTGGAAGCGATATTTGTGATGGGCCTGTAGCAATACTGATGGGTCCTAAGATGGTATCACTGAGCGAAAAAAATATGAATCAGAATGAGACATACAATACCATGTTCAGAGATTAAAGTACCTGCTACAAAATCACCAGTCCTGTTTTGTAAAAATACATCTTAGATGTATGTATTGTATACGGTTGGAGTGAGGGGGCAGAATGGGAGTATGGAATGGGGATAAAAAGGAAGAAATGAAGCAAGATAGGACCTTGCATGGACTGTGAAGATGTGGCATGTAGCAAAGGAGAAGTCTGGAATTCAGTACCCTCGACAAGCTGGCCCGCATGGCCTGACCAGCCTCATCTCCTACTGTGTCCCCCATGTTAACCCTCCCTAGACTGCCGGCAAACTGATTCTACTGCTGTCCTCCAGACATGCATGGGCCATTCCTTCACCGACTCCTTTTCCAAGAGTGGAATCTTCCTAATCCCCTGATCCATGTGTACCCTGGGCTATTTCCTTTGGGAAATCTCTCCAATCATCAAAACGAAAACAAACACCTCTTTCTCTGACATCTGCCATGCCTATGCTCTGCACCTCTCTTTGGGCACTGATCATACTGATTTGCATCCTTGGCTGCTGTTTTTTGTAATGACATAAAGCTAAGCAAAAGGACAACCAGGGCATCAACATCAACAAAACCAGTCCCTGGAGGCTGTAAGCTTCTGGAACACAGGGTCAGGGTCTCGCTTCTCTTCCCGATCTTCATCAGGGTCTATCCCTATATATTTCAAAGACCTGCTTTACAAGAGCTGACTGATTAGGTTAACCCTCATCTTAAAAACTATTTCTTTAGGCAAAAAAAGTGCAGTATTTAGTCCTCAAATTGAATAAGTCAGGAGTGTGTGGAAAAACAGGGTTTGCAGACCGGTGTCACTAGTGATCCTTATAAATATTTTTATATCCATTAAACTAAAGCAATAAAGATAAGACACTCTGTAAAGATAATGTCAACAGTACTTTAAATATCCTAAAATGATCATGATGAACACACTGTCCAGTTAATCACAACTTACCGTTGCTTATTGTCTAGAATCTTTTCAGGATATCTTTCTTCAGCAGTTTTAATGTGGTGCTTGTAAATTTGACATTCTTTGTTTATAAACACTGGGTATGATAATAACTACCATTTGTTGAGTATCTACTCTATTTCCAGCTGTACAGACTTTAGCTCATTTTTCTTCTCACAACACTGTTGTCGAATTCCCATTTTATAGCTGAGGAAACAGAGGGTCAAAAGCATTGAAGTAACTCCCTCAAGGCCATCAGCTAGTGATCAACCAAGCAAACCTGGTTTCAAACCAGGTTCGTTTGGCTCCCAAATCCAAACCCTTTCTACAATCCACTTCTGCCAAGGAGTTTTCTAGTGTGTCTGGTTCTCCAGGCCAATGTCTGTTTGATATTATGACTCTGAACATCTAAGTCATAAAAAGTAGCCTGTGATTTACATAAATCAATGGTTCTCAAATGCATATGCACTTCTAGAACTATGATTACAGCTGAATGGGTCTGAGGATACAGTTTTAAAAACTTCCAGGTGATTCTAATGTGCAGCCAGAGTCGAGAACCACTGACACAGACTCAGAACAGGTGCCCAGATATAAGTCTACATACACTGGAATGGGAAGGGACTTGTATAATAAAGCTGCCCTCTTGTACAACATAGGGAATATAGCCAATACTTTATAATAACTATATACGGAGTATAACCTTTAAAAATTGTGAATGTATTGTACACCTGTACAATATTGTACACCTGTAACTTATATAATATTGTACTTCAACTATACTTCATATTAAAAAATTTAAAGAAAAAGAGATAAAGCTTTGATAGCTTTATCACAAAATTTAAATAAAGACACAATACAATAAATACAGTATTCTAAAGCTGAAAAAATAAAGTTGCCCTCAGCCCTTTTTCTAAATGAAATCTCTGTAAGGACAAGTTTGCCATCATTTTTTCTAATACATGACTAATTTTCTCTCATCTTTCTCCAGCTTCTTCTTGCCTTTTTGGATCACAAATATCAAAACAGGAAATAAATATTCTGTTAAGAGTCTGATAAGTGCAGAGCATCAGAGCAGTGATATTTTCAGGACTCCCTTGGTCAGGGTAGGTTAGCTGCTGTAACCAATCAACCCACGTCTCAGTGGCTTAAAAGATAGAAATTTGTTTCTCACGCTCATAACGGTTCAGCAGGCTGCCTTCCACAAAGTGACTCAGGGACTGAGGCTGTCCACATCTTTGCCATCTTCTACAGCCTCTGACCCCTCTGTTGGATCCTTTCTATCTGGCTGGCAGATGGGGAAGAGAAGTACATCTGATGAGGGAGGATTTTACAGACCAGGCCTGGAGAGTTGCATGTCCTTTCTGCTAACATTGCTGTTTAACTCAACCCAAAGTTGCTTATGACCTTCAGATGTTTCCCTGTAACTTTTATCCAAGTTGTCTTATCTATTTTAAAAAGGAATTAACATAATATTTATTGAGGACCCACTATGTTGCAGGTTCTAGCTAGTTATGTTTCATATGTTACCTTATTACGTTATCAGAATAATCCTGTGAGGGATGTGCTGTGTCATTATTCCCATTTTACAGAGGGTATTGAAGCTAATGGGATTTAAGTGACCCAACCACACTTAGATATCAGATACTAGAGCTCAGGTCTTCTACTACTTTCCATTGGAGTGTTTGGTTTTATTTTTAAGAGCATTATATCGAAAGCTTCTCAAGATGTCAGATTACAAAAGAATAATTCACAGAGGTAGACAGACCCACTTTCCCACCTTGCCTCCCAAAACTGTACAAAGTCCCCTGGAACTCTCCACAGTGTGCATGGTCACCTCAGTTAGATGGCGTCAAAATGTCTCACTCTTAGTTATTCTTTAACATTTGTTTGAAAATAAAATCAAAGTCTTTTGATATCAAAATCTAGTTCATTATTAAAATTTTAATTTAATACAAATCCTACAGACAGGTGTAGGATTAAGGTGGATTGTCTCAGAGTCTTTCAACCTCTAATAAATCTGTGTGAATATTTTGGCCCCATTGACAAGAAGTTGCTTCATTTCCAGAGTGAAAATTTTCCATATTTTAACCGCCAGAAAGAAAGCTCTAGCCTGGGAACATTCCCCTCAATACCTAACCAAGTTTCTCACTTCAAATCTCTTCCCACTCAATTCTTAAATATCCAGACATTGAATCCAGCCTATAGATCCTCCCAGTTCTGCTTCTCTACTTCCTAAAAGAGATGTGGTTAGACCTCTCATTCACTCATTCAACACATTTTAGTCAAATGGTCACTTGGAGCCAGGTGCAGAACTAGATGCTGGGAGGGATACAGTGATGGAGAAGGTCCCAAACATTGCTTCAATGAGCTCACAATTTATTGTGGAGGAGGAATACACAACCAGCCATGACATCCCCTGATATTCACTCAAGGATAGAGGTGGGCTAAGAGTTATAGGGACATAGAGGAGAGAGAAACTAATTCTGTTGGAGAAGGGAGAAATGAAGTGGCATTAAGAGTGACATTTGAAGTGAGCATTAAGGGAGGGTGGGAGCTTTTAAAACAGAGAATGAGAGGAAGGGCATTCCAGGTCAAAGGAATGGCATGACCAAAGGCTCAGAAGCACATGGCCTGGAATGGCCAGTAACTGGGTGAAGCTCAGACATGGTGCTCAGAGATGAGAGCAGGGAGAGAATTTACTAGTGGAAGCAACTGGAGTCATTACAGTTTACTGTTGCTGTTATTATTTTCTTGTTGCTATTTGTTTTTGATATTTTGTTTCAGAGAATAAATAGAAAAAGAGCATCTGCAGCTAGGAGGACCAATGAGGAGACTGCTGCAACAATTCTGAAGAGGAAATGATGAAGGACTGAATGAGATCTTTGGGGCAAGGGAGGAATAACAAGATAGAAGAGTCATTTCAGAGATGGAGTTAGGAAGACTTGGTATCTCCAAGGGATGGAGGAAGGGGAGCAGCAAGCAGTGCCTGCCTCCCCCATCTTGGGACTGGGCACTGGCAATGTGGGGGCACACTTAACCCACAGAGCCAGTGTCGGGGGAGGTCAAGCAGGAAAAGGACTGGAATCAGTGAAGACAGGACTGGGGATGTAACAGAAGACAGTGTCTGAAGCGCCCACCCTGAGTTTCTGGGTGGTGACCAATGGATAAGAACCCCATTGCAATAGACACCTGAATGCTGACTGTGCCCTTTGCTGATGACATAATGATGAGACAGGCAGTAGCATTTGGTTTTAAGACCAGGAATCTGATGACTGGCCCCAACTCTGCTCTGCCACTAGCTGTACAACCATAAGGGTCTAGTCACTTAATTTCTGTGTTTCAGAATATTCATCTTTAAACTAAATCTTGTAGTAAATAACCTCCAAGGCAGGGTTCTAAACTCCTTTTCTGAGGACTGGACCTAGCTCATAATGAAAGATCCACAGAGAAATAGGGAAAATCAGCATAGTCTCATATAAATATTTAGGGAGACATACAATAACTAAATAACTATAAGGTTGGATGGATGGATGGATGGAGAAAGAGGAAAAAAAAGAACTACAAGGTTGAAACTACATTTTCTGCAAAGGACTTTCTTTTATTCCAAGGATATATTTTTACTTCATTTTTGGTGTTAAAATTGTTCTTTCTTTTGTTAAACAGTGGTGAGAGTTGATAGCAGTTTTTTTAAACGTTTAATTTTTAAACTTTAAGGTTTTTAAACTCGAAAACGTTCCAGACTTCTATAGTTCTCAGGGTTTGTTTTTGTTTTCTTTTTATTTAAAAAATTTCTTATTCTGTAAAATTGAACAGCCTGGGAGCCAATTTCCTAGCATTTCTCCCAACTGTAGAGGCAGGGACCAGGCTACAACAGCAGAATATTGTTTTCTTTTTACAGCACCTGCCCCTGCCCCTCACCCTCACCCTACCCGCTTGAGCAGCTGTTATCCAGCAAGCACCAATGGCCCACTGATGAGTGGAATGTGATCCCATCCCAACCCAGAAATTAGGGGATTTGCTTCTGGGGACCTTCAAAGAGAATCCACATTTTTTTGGTCTTTTCTCCTTTATTCCTTTTATTCTCTCTCCTGCACCAAAAACAAAAAATAAAAGAAAAAGAAAGGCAAGCAAATCAGTGGGAGGACAGAAAATTTGTTCTCCAGATGATATTTCTGTTCATCCTGGGATCCTTTAAACATCCAACATCCCAAGCCAACTTCCCCCCACCTACCACTGGAGCTGAACCAAGGTCTCCTGTTACATGGCCATAGAACTGTCGGCCAGGACAAATTTTTTCCTTCCAAAGAGTCATTTGAAGTTGGAAGGTATAGAGATTGGTTATGCTAAAGCTTCAGTACATGATCAGATAACACAGATTAAGTTGATGTATGACAGGATCTCACACTATAAGGCAGTTGTGGGATACCCCAACTGAAACCTCAGAAGATACAACCATTTTCCTCCTAAAGGAAACTAAAGACGGTATCACAAAGTTATACACTGTCCCTAACCCTATTGTGTACCGACTAATCATAATAGACATACTAAATAATAGCTATTATTTTTCTGGCATTTACTATGGACAAAATACTCTTCACACCAATCTCTAAAGTAGAAATTATTTCTCTTGATTAGAAAGCTGAGACTCAGGGAAATTAGTTCCTTGCCAAAATTATATAATGAGTCAGTAATGGAGATGGGATCTGAATCCAGATTTGTCCAGTCACAAATCCTAATTATGGCACAATCCAGAGTAAGCCCCTCCCCCGTTGTCCCAAGGTATGAAACCATTGCCAAAGCATAGCAAGACAATGGCGTGAAGAGATGGTCCCTCTTGCAATCTGACAGAGGAGCTAGACCTGTAAACAACGAGTTAGACTACAGGGCACATTCAGAGAAGGGTTATGATGCTGTGGCAAACAAGATGCATTGTTACCTCAGAAAAGCTTTCCATCAGGATCGACATTTGGGGATCAGGTGCTTGGGCTCTGGAGCGACTCAAATTTCCTGCGAACAAAAATGCCAAGATTATTATTTCACAAGAAAGATAGTCAAAGTCATGTTCAAAGGCAGAATTCAGCTTTCTTTTTATGAAACCAGGCTATTAGTCTTTAGTAGAAAATTATCACCTTTTTCCAGATGAGCTTGTTTCTGAGGTAGCTAGTGAGGAAACCACCCCCAGCTCTCAGTACAGGTGACCGAACTGCCTCTGGGCACTGCCATAAACATCAGTAATAAATGTAAGGCCTACCCTGCAGCTTCAAAGATGGCAAAGCACAATCAAAGATGGATTTGCTTTGAAAGGACAAAGGGGCTTGAAGAGGGGTAGGGTGAGAAGAATCAGTGAGGAAAGGGATACCCATGGTTTCTGACTAGTACAAGCAGCAGGACTGAGGTGCAGCATTAAGACAAAGCAGGACCAGGTAACCTGGGGGAGAGAACCCAGTGTGGTTCAGAAAGTCTTGTGAAGATGAAGAAAAAGTTCCAGGTGGAGGTGAATGAGGTTAAAGGAGGATCTCTTAGTCAAAGATGAGAGATATGAGTGTGTTTCAGTGCTGCTGAAAGCAGAGAGGGAAATGTTGAAGACACAGGTTAGAGGAGAGACAGCTGGGGTAAGACTTGAAGGGTATACAGAAAGTTTAAAATAACCACTACAGAGGTGTGAAAGCACTACAACATTAGTAATATGGTGACATCCTGAGCAGTGCTAGGAGCCAGACTGAGTCTAGGTTGGAGACAGTATGGCACGCAGCTGTGCAGCTTCATGTCATCCGCCACCCCTCTGCCATGGGGGCCAGGAGCCCAGGAACAGAGATTGGGGTCTCACCAGATAGGTGGGTACAATAATCACGCCAAGAGATTAGGGAATTAAGGAGGGAAGTGAAGTGAGAGGACATCCCATGTTGCAAGAATATAGTCCTGCACTCTCTCAGGAATTATATTAGAACACTGTACTCAGTCATAGGGGCCCAGGGCCTTCAGGTGGCTTCGGAGACACTACTTGACACTGAACTAGAGTCTCCTCCAGTCTTTCCCTGTGCCCTTGTTAGTTTGTCCCTGATTGGATCAACAGTCTTTTCAACCTTCCCCCATCCCTAGGAATAGCCATTGGGACAATGTTACCTTGGTCTTTATTTGGGAGTCTTAGGAGTGAAAAATGCAGATCTCCATGATCTGGGAAGAATTGGTTTGATTTAAATTCCTGGAATTTAAATTGGTTCAAGATGGCAGAGTAGAAGGACATGTGCTCACTCCCTCTTGCGAGAGCACCAGAATCACAACTAACTGCTGAACAATCATCGACAGGAAGGCACCAGAACTCACCAAAAAAGATACCCCCCATCCAAAGACAAAGGAGAAGTCGCAATGAGATTGTAGGAGGGGCACAATCACAATAAAATCAAATTCCATAACTGCTGGCTGGGTGACTCACAAACTGGAGAACAATTATACCACAGAAGTCCACCCACTGGAGTGAAGGTTCTGAGCCCCACATCAGGCTTCCCAACCTGGGGGTCCAGAAAAAGGAGGAGGAATTCCCAGTGAATCACACTTTGAAGGCTAGCAGGATTTGATGGCAGGACTTTGACAGGACTAGGGAAAACAGAGACTCCACTCTTGCAGGGCACACACAAAGTAGTGTGCACATCAGGACCCAGGGGGAAGGAGCAGTGACTCCATAGGAGACTAAACCAGAACTACCTGCTAGTGTTGGAGTGTCTCCTGCAGAGGCGGGGGACAGCTGTGGCTCACAGCAGGGACAAGCACACTGGTAGCAGAGGTTCTGGGAAGTACTCCTTTGTGTGAGCCCTCCTGGACTCTGCCATTAGCCCCAACAAAGAGCTTGTAGTATCCAGTGCTGGGTTGCCTCAGGCCAAACAACCAAAAGGGAGGGAACTCAGCCCCACCAATCAGCAGACAAGTAGTTTAAAGTTTTACTGAGCTCTGCCCAACAGAGAAACACCCAGCACTATCCACCACCAGTCCCTCCCATCAGGAAGCTTCCACCAGCCTCTTAGACAGCCTCATCCACCAGAGGACAGACAGCAGAAGCAGGAAGAACTACAATCCTACAGTCTGTGGAATGAAAACCACATTCACAGAAAGATAGGCAAAATGAAAAGGCAGAGGATTATGTACCAGATGAAGAAATAAGATAAAACTCCAGAAAAACAACTACATGAAGTGGAGATAGGCAACCTTCCAGAAAAAGAATTCAGAATAAAAATAGTGAAGATGATCCAGGACCTCAGAAAAAGAATGGAGGCAAAGATTGAGAAGATGCAAGAAATGTCTAACAATGACCTAGAAGAATTAAAGAACAAAAAAACAGAGATGAACAATTCAATAACTGAAATGAAAAATACACTAGAAGGAATCAGTAGCAGAATAACTGAGGCAGAAGAATGGATAAGTGACCTGGAAGAGAGAATGGTGGAATCCACAGCAGTGGAACAGAATAAAGAAAGCAGAATAAAAAGAAAGGAAAACAGCCTAAGAGACCTCTGGAACAAACTTAAATGCACCAACATTCGATTTATATGGGTCTCAGAAGGAGAAGAGAGAGAAAAGGAACTCAAGAAAATATTTGAAGAGATTATAGTTGAAAACTTCCCTAACATGGGAAAGGAAATAGCCACCCAAGCCCAAGAAACACAGAGAGTCCCAGGCAGGATAAACCCAAAGAGAAACACACTGAGACACATAGTAATCAAATTGACAAAAATTAAAGACAAAGAAAAATTAATGAAAGCAACAAGGGAAAAATGACAAGTAACATACAATGGAACTCCCATAAGGTTAAAAGCTGATTTCTCAGGAGGAACTCTAAAAGCCAGAAGACAGTGGCACTATATATTTAAAGTGATGAAAGGGAAGAACCTACAACTAAGATTACTCCACCCTCAAGGATCTCATTCAGATTCGATGGAGAAATCAAAAGCTTTGCAGACAAGCAAAAGTTAAGGAATTCAACACCACCAAACCAGCTCTACAACAAATGATAAAGGAACATCTCTAACTGGGAAACACAAGAGAAGAAACAGACCTACAAAAACAAACCCAAAACAATTAAGAAAATGGTAATAGGAACATACATATTGATACTTTTTACCTTAAACGTGAATGGATTAAATGCTCCAATGAAAAGGCACAGCCTTGCTGAATGTATACAAAAACAAGACCCATATATATGCTGCCTACAAGAGACCCACTTCAGACTTAGGGACACATACAGATTGAAAGTGAGGGGATGGAAAAAGATATTCCATGCAAATGGAAATCAAAACAAAGCTGGAGTAGCAATACTTATATCAGAAAAAATAGACTTTAAAATAAAGAATGTTACAAGAGATAAGGAAGGACACTACATAATGATCAAGGGATCAATCCAAGAAGAAGATATAACAATTATAAATATATATTCACTCAACATAGGAGCGCATCAATACATAAGGCAACTGCTAACAGCTATAAAAGAGGAAATTGACAGTAACACAATAATAGTGGGGGACTCTAATACCTCACTTACACCAATGGACAGATCATCCAAACAGAAAATTGAGAAGGAAATACAATCTTTAAATGATACAATAGGCCAGATAGATTTAATTGATATTTATAGGACATTCCATCCAAAAACAGCAGATTACACTTTCTTCTCAAGTGCACACGGAACATTCTTCAGGATAGATCACATCTTGGGTCACAAGTCAATCTTCAGTAAATTTAAGAAAACTGGAATCATATCAAGCGTCCTTTCTGACCACAATGCTATGAGATTAGAAATCAATTACAGGGAAAAAAACGTAAAAAACACAAACGCATGGAGGCTAAACAATATGTTACTAAATAACCAAGAGATCACTGAAGAAGTCAAAGAGGAAATTTAAAAATATCTACAGACAAATAACAATGAAAACACAACAATCCAAAACCTATGGGATGCAGCAAAAGCAGTTCTAAGAGGGAAGTTTATAGCAATACAAGCTTACCTCAAGAAACAAGAAAAATGTCAAATAAATAATCTAAACTTACACGTAAAGTAACTAGAGAAAGAAGAACAAACAAAACACAAAGTTAGCAGAAGGAAAGAAATCATAAAGATCAGAGCAGAAATAAATGAAATAGAAACAAAGAAAACACTAACAAAGATCAATAAAACTAAAGCTGATTCTTTGAGAAGATAAACAAAATTAATAAACCACTAGCTAGACTCATCAAGAAAAACAGGGAGAGGACTAAAATCAATAAAATTAGAAATGAAAAAGACAAGTTACAACAGACACTGCAGAAATACAAAGCATCCTAAGAGACTACTACAAGCAACCCTATGCCAATAAAATGGACCACCTAAAGAAATGGACAAATTCTTAGAAAAGTATAACCTTCCAAGATTGAACCAGGAAGAAATAGAAAATATGAACAGACCAATTAGAAGTAATGAAATTGAGACTGTGATTAAAAATCTTCCAACAAACAAAAGTCCAGGCCCAGATGGCTTTATAGGTGAATTCTGTCAAACATTTAGGGAAGAGCTAACACCCATCCTTCTCAAACTCTTCCAAAAAATTGCAGAAGAAGTAACACTCCCAAACTCATTCTATGAGACCACCATAACCCTGATACCAAAAGCAGACAAAGATATTCCAAAAAGGAAAATTACAGACCAATATCACTGATGAATATTGACAGAAAAATCCTCAACAAAATACTAGCAAACAGAATCCAACAACACATTTAAAAGGATCATACACTATGATCAAGTGGGCTTTATCACAGGGATGCAAGGATTCTTCAATATATGCAAATCAATCAATGTGATAGACCATATTAACAAACTGAAGGATAAAAACCATATGATCGTCTCAACAGATACAGAAAAATCTTTTGACAAAATTCAACACCGATTTATGATAAAAATCCTCCAGAAACTAGGCATAGAGGGAACTTAACTAAACGTATTAAAGGCCATATATTACAAACCCACAGCCGACATCGTTCTCAAT